AATTTGCTTTCAAAAGAGGATAAATTTATGAAAGTTGCTATTGAATCATTCTAATAAAGGTAGATTTTCAATTACATTTGTTTTAAAGATGATTTACGTTTTAAATTGTAAACCATATATCCAAAGATTACTAATTAGTATAACATAATATTAAACAATTATTAATAATGGTTTTAAATTGAAATAAAATATATATAGATTTTCACCAAAAAATGTTCATTTGAACACTTAATTTAATATCTCTACTTTACACCTACCATATAAATGTATACATGGATATAAATCTTTGGATGTATCAATAGTGAGAGTCTAATATTAATAGAAGTTGATACGAATGTTTCATTTGTGGATTACTTTATCATTTCACATACTTCTTTTGTATATCCACTTCAACTATTATTATATCATTCTTTAAAAACGGAAATGCTATTGATTTATCATTCTTATCTTATTAATCATGATTCAAACAACAACCATTATTATATATATTATATGTGCTATTTTAGAACTATTAATTTCATATTTATACCCTCCTCCAAGAAAATAACTTGCTTTATAACCTTTACTTTACACAATATCCCTAAAACCAATACCAATCATAATATCACTAATTTCAATAATTTTAACCGCAAATTAGATCACACCATTCTTAGGAATCATTTAATCACACATACAGCATTACCAACAAATAGTACTTGTCTCAATAACTTTTCCATTTTAAGTTACTGAACAATTAGTGTGCTTATTAGATGTTTAGAATGTCAGTGATTATGAGAATTACTACACCTACTACAAATTTAGAATTAATGATACCCAAAAAGCATGTTATAACTACTGTATAATTTATTCATTCTTCTAAATTATTTCTAAGCATTTTTGCATTTCTGTTTGATTTCCCTAAATTATAACTTCATATTACATTTCTATGATAAAAAGAATATAAGTTACTTTATTATTCGAATTCTTGTACTTTTAGAGATAAATTTTCATTTTAGTTCTTCAAATCATTGATTTTCGTATTCTATTCTGAATCATGTGTCTTTAATTCATTTATAACGTATTGAGACTCTAAATTCAAATTATCACTTTCAATAAGTTGATTTTAAAGTGATTCCTTTTCTGTTGTTATTTAATCAAACTAAGCGAATTTTTGTATTAAGGTGAAATCCTTTTGAATCTTTGACACATATTCATTAAACTTATTAATATTAATTAAATTGTACTTGTTACAATTGTACACCTTT